TTAATTAGTAGCCTACCCAGGCTATGTTCTACGTCTGTGCCAAATTACTGCTAGATATATGCAGTCGTTCTGGATATACCTTCCATACCATATAAACAATTATATTCCACACCAGTGAAAATTACACTTTTAAAGCTTACTGTCAGTCCGTTTATACGTGCTGCCTATGGGTCAAGCGTTCGCAAAGGGCTTACAATTCCTTGCGGGTTCGATACAACAACAGGTTGGTGCTGTCGCGCTACTGGGATGTTTGCTGATGATGATGTTAACGGCTTCGCCGCATTGACCAAGATGAGAGCATCCCTGATGCGGCGAATGCGGGACAGCGCCAACGGCTACCTGCAACTCATTGTTGATAGAGTAGGATTGGACTGTCCAGTCCTGGACATGTGGAAACGTCTACATGTGCCCTGAAGGATTTTATTTTTGTGCCAGAATTTAAATTTGTATTTTTTGTTTAAGCTAAAACATAATATTTTACAACAACGTTAACGTTCATAATATTGTCACCGCGGCGTTTAAAAAGTTTCTTTTTGTATAAAATATTAGCAGATTTTTTTGTAAATTTACTAATATTTCCAATAACCATTCCAACTAAGCTCTAAGCTTGTGCTAGGATATGGTTAACGACAACAGTCTAATGGCGGGATTCGAATTCCCGTCCTCGTGGTCGGAAACCCGTACCCTCAACCATTAGGCTATTGACGCTTCTAAAAACACATGTTTACGAATAAAGATCTAACTCTATTTTTTGAATTAGTACATGCAATTGTAATATTTGTAATTCAATTATTTTCTAAATTAATTATTTATTCAATTAATTATGCATAAAAATGATTAAAAAACACCCAATGCCATATAGACAATGATAATGTAGCACTTCTTAGTATAGACATGTGTCTTTATAAACACCTTATAAATAAATATATTATAATTATATGCAAATTTTATTCAATCTTAAAATGAAATTCCTTGAATACACCGACGTGTTGATTTATACGACATAACGTTATCATCTAATCCTTAATTAAATCTAAAACACGAATAACATGCATTAAACTATAAATAAATGCAGATATCTTGTAGATTTTTCGCAAATGTCGAAGCTGTGCCTTTTGCAAAAAACTGGAAGACAGATATCAAGTGGAAGATGTCGTCTGATGTGTGTCGGAGGCCTTATTTTAGTCCTCTTTCCCTTCCCATCCTGACTTTTATATCATAAGGCAAACATCGCTGTAATAGCGAAGCGACCATTGCCCATAGATATACGCAATTAAAGATGCGTTGCCTACCTATAATCGACGGAGGAGGAGATGCATAGAAAGAGAATATTTTCCCATACCGTACGTCCCTTCATCCGGAAAATCCATTTCCACTTCCTATCCTTGTAAGAAAAAGAAGAGAAATAGGCCTAATATTAGGCCTCCGGGACGTACACTAATCAGATGAAATTTGAAATTGTTTCCACTTCACTTGCCTTCTGTGGTGCGAAGACGTTAAAGCGGACTCTACCAATGTGTTATTTAATTCATTTGTATATTTTTTTTTAATTTAAAATAGTAATTATATGTTTATTGCTTTATTTGTTAAATTTAGCACTGAAAGGTTGTTAAATGTCGCTTAGTAACTGTCCAAATTTGGCTAAGTGGCATGCCTTGAAAACAATTGAAGTCTAAATTAGCTTGATAACGGCATACAATAAAAAAATTACCAAGGCTTTTTATATTAACTCAATTTTATTAGCTTGGCCTGCATACTTATATGTACTTATATAACATAATCTTTGATCAATAACTTTGTTGCAATTTAAAAGATATAATGCATTTCGTAGTAGTTGTTTTATCCAGTAGATGGCGCCTGCAACTTCGTTCACATAAGTAGTAATTAGGCGATTCGAAACGTAAATTGTCGACACTAATATTGTATGGTTGCTGCTCGTTGCACACTTCGTTCACAAAGTTGAATCGTCGACGCGAATCGTCTATTCAGCCAGTGCAAGCATACCGTCTACATGTCAACTGTATAGATCATACGAAATATGTGCAAAAGAGTACGGACCAAAAGTCTGTGGATGTCGTTTGTTAAAAGAAAACTGCTGATTTGCTCCGCCATCTTCAAAAATACAGCGACCATCCTACTAACCATTTAGACAAAGATGTTGCAAGCGTCTGTCTGTGGCGATGACAGATATGTCGGCGACGTGCTATGTGTACACACCTTTATGACATTGTAATTCGTTAGTCGCTTAGCGACTGAAATGGCTAGGTTTTGAATACTTAAGTTGCCTTGTGTTACAAGGTCCTTAGACTGTAGGTCTTAAATTTAGAACATCTTTACGTACGCCTACGTACTGACAGTAGACTGTGTTAAATTTCAATTCTCTAGGCCTAGAAGTTTCTAATTTATAGTCATAGGAAATAAGAAATTATATTTACCTATTTTCTTAAATGACAATGGATTTATTTTGGATAGTTTATTGTTAAGATAGATTTGCTATAATTTATTATTTCTGTTAAATTCGACCATATGTTGGTATGACGACAATTTTCTTATTTAAAATTAATTAAAACCAAAAAAATATAACAAGATATTAAGAAATGTGACATTCAAAATTGAACAGGAATTGTGAAACGGTTGACGAAATTAATGACCATACATGTGTCTTTTTATTTGCAACTCGTTTCAAAATGAAATTTGGAACAACATACAATAATAATTGAGTTTATTATTATATAATTTATTAATTACTTAATTATATACAATTTTAAATTATAATTTAAATAAGTTTCAAACGTTAGCCTCTGGAATATTGTACAAAATCAATTTTGTTGCAAAATTTCACAAACATATTGCAAGCTATTTAAAATTTTAATAATACTGCAATGTACAAATTATGTGAATACATTTAAGGATACATTTATTCTAAAAATTCTACGAAAAATTCATAAAATATTTATTTATTTAGATTCCTATCCCATTGAAATAAAGATTTAAAATAAATGAAATTGCAATTTGAATAAATTTAACTTAACAATATTATAAAGCTTAGCATTCACATGTCGATATCGGACTCATCGCTCGTATCAAACGGATTTTAACATTCGTATTCTATGCTTATCATCAACCTACCATATGGAGGGTCAGTAGAGTATTTACTTCTCCATAAAACTATTAGGCGTTACATCTGAATCCAATTTCTTCTTACGCGTATCCTCTTACATACACTCCTTCATACTTTCTGCACCTTTGTAGCCATCCACATTCAATCTCATTACTTTTAAACTAAGTTTTTATACAGATTAAGGGGGACAAACGTGCAGCGGGAACACCGAGATGATCAACGCCCACGGACATCTGCAATACCAAAGGAACCAAAGATGCGTTGCTAACGTTTGAGATGGTGATAGACATGATTTTTGAAGGACTGATTTTAGACATTATCAACTATAATCCTTTGGCGTGAATGACGTGCTTTCGTTACAAAGTCCAGTGTTAATATTAATAGTGAGGGGACACAAACGTCGACATTTTAGTAAGGCTAGTGTTGGGTCGGTACACTGCCAAATTTTCTAAATTCCTTCCTAACACTAAGTATATTAAAATCCGTTTAAAGGGAGACATGCGATTTGTCCGATACTGTGTACACGTTCCTTTATAAGACAATATTATACTAATTCATTCATTCATTGATCTTAAATTATTCACCTATCAAATTGAAATTATACCAAAAAAGTTGCATTTTATCTATAATAATAACCTTATTTATAATGCAAGCTAATTTATTTTTATTGTCACCTTTAAATACTAGAGTGCTTTAAGGAATTTAAACAGTTAAATAATAATTAATTGGTGAATCTTAAATTATTCATCTCTCGGTACAAAATAAGAATAAATGAATTTATTAAAATGAAATCTATAAATGCATTTTTATACGACCGTTTAAAATGCATGTTAAACTAATTTACATTTTAAATAATACTGATAAATATCACTAATTATTTTTAAACAAAATGCTAATTTAGCAAAGATAATCAAAATTATATTTATTAGCAGTAAATTCTTAATATTAATACGAGGTAAACGAGTACATGATTTTGTTGAGGTTAAATAATCCCTGATTATCCAATAGCTTATACAAAAGGCAAAGGAACATGTAAAGATGCAATAAAGACGAATATCCTAGCCAAAGAACCAGTCAGAGATGCTAATGGTTTGCTTTTTTGTGACCGAGTAGTTCCTGATTACCAAAAAGGTATTTACAACTCACTGAGGACACTGGGCTTGCGGTGGCAGGGCTCAACCTAGATCTCAGGTTGCTCGCGATTTGGAGCCGCGGTTTTAAATAATTCAAGTTGCCCTGATGATTACCTACCTTTGGAAGAAGATTATACTTTAAGCAGGAGAAAGGCGAAACTCGGAACTGTAAAAATACTTCTATTATGAGGTTATTTTAAAGAGAAGACGGTTTATAAAGTTGGAGACGTTAAGCTAAAATTGTAAGAAGCCTTATTTACGGAAGAAGAAATCTGGGCAGTGTCAAAAATGACATTGAGGTAACATAAAGGTTAAGAAGTAAATGGTGCTAGGGTAAGATTTAAGCTTTTTACACGCGAAATGCGTAGGATATGATCCTATTTTTATATACGCATCTAAAGAAACATTTCTTATTACATGTAATTCTGTAGAATAATAGGACGCTCCCCATACGCCGTGATGAGACGCCGTAGAGCTGGTCTGGCAGAAGAAGGCGCAAGACAGGCGACTTTGGAGATCTCTTGTGTAGGCCAAGACCCACTTTGGTTCGTTGCGTCAGCAGTGTAAGTTTTTTTTTATAACATAAGGTGGCAAACGAGCGAGCGGCCACCTGTAATCGCTGAAATAGCGCAGTGACCGTTGCTCATAGACATAGGCAATTGCATATGCGTTGCCTACCTTTAATCGACAGAGAGGATGCACAGAAAGAAAATATCCTCCCTTCCCATGTATCCTCTCATCCGGAAAGTCCACTTCCCATCCTTTTCTTATAAGAGAAGGGGTGAAGAGGGAAAGTGGACTAAATAAGGCCTCCGGGAAGCGGCCGGACGCGGGACGCGGCCCGGCTCGCCCGCTAAAATAGCGGGCCGATTCGTGCGAAGATGTTAAAGCTGGCTCTACCACTGTTAAAGAATATAATATAAGAAGTATAGAATAATAGACAATAGATTTCAGAGATTAAGCTATGAATTAATAAAGCCGTCTAAATAACGTAATAGCAGCTGCAGATGTCATTATCAAAGATGAAGGATTCAAAAACGTCCCTCCGCTGACTTTACAAGTATTCTCGGTGTTATTAAAATGTATGAAAGGTGAATCTTGAAGACTATAGTTTGCCACAGCTCGATCCAGTTTGAGCGCATCATCGTCCTTTATATGTGGTGTTCTGGTGAGTTTCCACAGTTCATCTGAAATGAAAGAAAAACAATCGTATGACACGTTATTCCTCATAATCTGCTTTGTTTGTAAGATCCATTTTTTGGTTTTTATTAGTTTACTAGCTATTGCCAGCGAGTCCAACCGCGCGGAATTAAAAAAAATCCAGCTTGATACCTTCTCGCGTTTTTGAGAAAAAGCGTCTTGACAGACAGAAAGACGGACGGACAACAAAGTGATCCTATAAGGGTTCCGTTTTTTCTCCTATGAGGTACGGAACCCTAAAAATACTTAATTAGTAGCCTATGTGATCTTCCAGGCTATGTTTTACATCTATGTCAAATTTCAGCGAGATCCATACAGCTGTTCACTACATACGTTCTAACATCTAACATTCCTTTCCTCCTCCTCCTTTCAAAAATTCGCCAATATTAATAAGATGTCGCAAGAATCAGTATTCCTCCGAGTCCCCAAATAAAGTTAAATCACAATTCTGCTACTAACGACCCTACCCAGAACAGTACAACTTTAACAAATTACTATTCGTTGTCCAAACGTCCAACAAAATCTAATTCTTGCGTTCGAGACACTATAAAAACAAATCCTGCTTTCTAAATATCATTTTTTGTCTTAAAATTAAAACAAGTTGTATAATTTAAATACATCGTCCATTTATCAAATTGATATAATAATGTCGTGTCTGAATTTGATTTCACAAATAGATTTTGACATTTACTTCTCTTATCTTTAAATTCTACTAGATGGCGCTAGTTGTCGAATTAATAATATTTAGAGCAATGCTCTTTTATAATATAATAAAGCGCAATTCAAGTATATAGAAATTACATAATCAAATAATGTAAATTTTAATATTATTAATTATAACAGGACAAAGCTTGTGGGTTTCCGAGACATAAATCTCTGCATAAAACATATCGTCATCCCGACCATTATTTTTGATAAAACAGCTTATTTCCAAACCGTTACGACTTAGGGTACTTCAAGATGCGAGCGTATCACCATCTCAAAGGCCGGCAATACATCTGCGGTTCCTCTGGTATAGCTAATGTCCATGGGTGTCGTTGAACACATTGGCGTTTGTTTGCCCCCTTCTCTTATAAAAAAAACAGATAACGATATATTTCAAATAGGATTCTGGTCTTAGAAGCCCACAGTAAGAGCTTTTAGCTCTTCTCTTTTATCATTTGAACGAAAGAAAAAAGGTTAATAAGTGATTGTTACAGCATTATTCTTCAAAAGCGTTTTGTTATATCTTATCAACAATCTACATGTATAATTTTAAAATGCAGGATATAAAAAAAACTCACGACTAAGTTATTTTAAGTTAAAAACAAGCTTAGCCTTGTTAAAACATATTTGTTATCGTATGTATTTTTAATTGCAAATATCTCGAAATGCTATTTTTATTCAACCGGTTACTCTGAGGTCAACCTTTCCAAATAAAAATTATTTTTAAATATTATAATGTATACAACTTTTTGCTATCACTAACGACATTTCAGTTGAATGATAATTAATGCAAGATTGCAATTATTCTAAATATAGAATAATGACTCACACTTTACATCATCAGCTCACTATACGTCCCCACCGAGGGGCTCTGAGCCTACCCTAAGTTAAGGATGATTATGCCATAGTCAACCACGCTGGCCAAGTGCGGGTTGACTTCACACATATCATTGAATTTCTTCTCAGATATGTGCAGCATCACGATGTTTTCCTTCATCGTAAGAACGTCGGATAAATGTACATATGTAAATCGAAAATCAAAAACACATTGGTACATGGTGGGATTCGAACCCTGGACCTGCAGATTGCAAGTCAAGTGCTTGACCCCTGAGCTACCGACGCTCTTCTAATCCTAACATATAATTGCTGTTTAGTTGCGCTTTATAATGTTAGATAAGGACAGTTTTCTATTTTACTAGCTGTCGCCCGCGGCTCCATTCGGGCGCGATTACAAAAAAAACGTAGTAAGTAGCCTATGTGTTCTTTCAAACTATGTTCCACATCCATGTCAAATTTAAGGCGAGGTCTGTAACAGTGGACAAGGATCCCCATTCTAATCGCCAATGGTAAATCTACACTTCGAGAAGTAATTGATTTTAAAAGTATTGAAATTTTGTTATTAAACAAAACAATGAGTTTTCAAAGAGGAGTACAAACATATATTGTTATCTCCCTCTAGTTCCTTAAAAAATCTTAGTAATTCCACTGCTAAGAAAAATATATAATACCTAAGATTTATCAATGTCCAAATTAGGCAGGAAATTGAAACAACAATACCTCTTTAAATACAGTTCTTAAAAGTTTCCTTTAAAGCATTCACGTGTTACAATGCCATAGGAAATGTTATAAAAAAAAAATAATTTTCTGTACCAACGATGACCAGACGCAATGAAACGTGAAATCAACTGAACTGTGACTTATATCGTTTGTTATTCTTCTTCCGCGATTGAGTATTATGGAAACACTAGCTATTGTTCGCTCCGATTGTGCGGGCTTAAAAAAAACTTAGTAGCCTCTATATTCTTCCAGACTATGTACTACAAATTTGTGTGCTAGATGTCAAATCACTTGAACCATTTTGGTCATACCTTCTATCAAACATCCACCCATCTAAGCTTTCGCATTTATAATATTAGTAAGAAGTAAGATTTTTGTGATGACTTCGTGTTTGTTTTTTATGCTAGAAGATGGCATGAGCAAGACACTTAATCGATAAGCAAAGTGGCATCTAAACACAGATTAACATCAAACATTATGCATGAGACGGGCAAAAAATTTGGAAAAAATTATGCTTTGGTCCGGTGTGGAATTAAAAAATAAACAAAACTTATTTTATGTTTAGAGACCTTGAAGAGTCAATCTTATATTTCAAAGCATGATATTTAATTAATAATGCATGCCGACACATGTTATAAACACAAATTTTGATTTTTTTAGGGTTTCGTAACTCGAAAGGAAAAAACCGGAACCTTTATAGGATCACTTTGTTGTCCGTCGCTCTGTCTCTCAAAACAATATTTTTCAAGAACGCGCGGAAATATTAAGGTGGAAGTTATATCAAATATTCAAATCCACTGACCCTTAGAGCTGTGAAAAATCAAACGTCTAAAATCCAACGCAATTAAACAATACAGCCATTTATGCAAGATTTCCGCACATTTTCAACAATCGCAAGGCAATCAAAGCCTATAGTGTACATCTAATCAAGCCAGGAGCTTGAATTATGGTACGCATCAAAATCTTATAACATAGATAAATAAAAAATTGAAAAACCGCAAATTTTACTTACATATCTACAGGTTTGTACGGAACGCTGGGTGCGCGATTCCGACTCGCACTTGACTTATATTTTTTATTATAATATCTAGCACTATGCTCGATACATTAGAATTATTTTTATCGATTTTATAGCCATCAATTTTAAAAATGATAATTTCCCGACGTTTCTCGATTCCGATTGGGGAACTTAAAAACAATTTTACATCTTCCCAATATTATAAATGCGAATTTTTAGATGGATGCATGTTAGACGGTATCTCCAGAATGTTATGGAATAGCTAATGAATTACGTTTCCGTGGTGCGTGAAAACACGACCGAGGAGAGCGTACACACAGACGACACTTTCCATGATTCATCGCTCCGTGAAAACGTACGATGTACCTAAATAATTTTATTAGTAACCAAAGAGATAAACATTTATAGAGAGGACATAAGGTCTACTTATAATTTATACATACATACATTATAACTTTCTTAAACCTTCTATCTATATATCTATTCACATTTTATCTCATCTTTCCAACATTCATCCCTCTCACACTCTTTGAATAAATGGAGACAGCATTATGTTTATAATTTTCGTTATTAAATTACTTACAAGTACTGCTTGTGCCATCTTCGTTGTTATAACAGGCGAACAATACTGCGTAGTGTTCATACTCCACGTCCAAAAATGAGAAAGTCTCTGTACTCTGATCTGCAAATATAACAAGTAATTTTTAATCCCACGATTTACAACTCAAAAACCAAAAAAACTCGACTGACTGTAGTCCTATAACACTCCAGAGAAAAATACGAATCGAATGACGTATAAATCGTCAAAATCAGTTTAGTAGTTTAGGCTCTACGCTGTCATAAAAGAAAGAACTCATTTAATTTCGCCAAAAAAGCGAAATTATCTCTGCCCATAGATAACCGCATTTACAGATTTCTTGGCTACCTTTTCTTAACAGAAGAGCAGACGCACAAATATACAATTATTACTGAAAAAAATTGTACAATGCAAGAGTTTGAAAGTTTAACACATTGCATGCCAACTCGCCCGGTGAGTTAAGTTACATGCGAAAAATTATAGTGGCATTTAAAGTATTAAATGTCATTTCGTATTTTGGAAAATTAATCCTCCACGCGGATAAAGTCAGATCAATAACGAGTATTTAAAATGTGAAAATCAGATGTTATCTAGGTGATATCTAAATGATAAATATTAAAATATTTAAATTCAGATTTTAGAAAAAAAATCTAATTTATTGTTTGGCTGAATATTGTATATCATTTTTGCTAAATGATTTTTTATTACTTCAAGAAAAAAAATCGACTAGTTTTTTTATAAGAACAGTCTATAATACTCTAATAATATTGTAATAAGATTAAACTAAACAAGCCTACCGTCTAGGACTTCATCCGCGTGGGATAAAAAATTGTCGTGCCTTTATTTTATTCAAGACTATACTCCATCAGTCTACTAAACTTAATCCAAATTCGCTCAACAGTTGTAGAGTCAAATAAAAACACGCATCTATCCAAAATTTCGCATTTATAATATTAGTAATTGCAAACTTTATTGTAAATAGTTATCGCCTGTCACTTCGCCCGCGAGGAAATAGAGAAAAACTCAATTAGTAGCCTATGTGTTCTTACAGGCTATGTCTTACATCTATGCCAAATTTTAGTGAGATCCATGCAGCCATTGTGACATTCCAACAATTCATCCATACATTCGCATTTATTAGCCTCATGATGGTCATGAAATGTATCAAAGTTTAATATTGTTCGATTGACGCACAAAAACAATTTTTTATTTACGTAGAAAAAATATTAAACATGTTTTTGCCTTTTTAAAGGTTAACAATTTAAAAATAAATACTGCGAGATATATTAAAAGTTTTAATGTGCAGTTAAATGCGTCAAGGGTGAGAAATTTTGGAAGGTCCTTTCCACTATAAACCACGGTTTATTTTCGTACAATAAATATAATCGTTAATCTAACCATAAATGGCGAACACAACAATAATTTTAAATTAATTCGAAATTCAAATTAAACATAAAATATACCCAAAACAAAGTATCCACAGTCCTAAGCCTGACGTGGCATGAATCCGCTGAAATAGCCAAGCAACCGCTGCCCATAGGCAACTGCAGATGCGTTGCATAGATTTAACAACGACAGAGAGGACGAACAGAAAGATTTTTTTCCTTCCTTCCCTTCCTCCGTCATTTCCCCTATCTATATAGGCCTCAGAATACGTAAAAATGTAGGTTACAGAGACGTACCAGTACCGCGCCAAATCGAAGATCGTAACCTCTGCTCCTATGGGGCAAGGGTCCGAATCTTACTAATAATATAAATGCGAATATTTAAATGGATGGATGTTTGTTTAAGGTATCTCCAGAACCGCTGAACGGATCTCGATGAAACTTAACATACGTATAGAACATAGTTTAGAGGAAAACAGACTACTAATTATGTTTTTCGTTTAATTCCGTGCGGATATTCGTGCGCGTTTGCTAGTACTATTATAAATGCGAATGCACAACGGCTGGAATTCGTTGAAATTTGACATCGATGTAGAACATAGTCTGGCAGAACACATAGGCTACTAATTTTTTTTTTTAATTTAAACGGCGTTATGTAATAAAATGAATTACCTGTATAAGTAACCATTAATAAATCTCCAGTTGTATTACTATCAACAGTCAGTTCAACAGATCCATTATAATAGCTAATTGTGTTGTTAGAGATCCAACTAATCGATACATCTGTGGTGTTATCACTCTTGTGATTAAATAATATCATGGCACAGTCCCCTTGGATCTTCATATCACTGACTACAGCGGCTACATACCATTTACCATCCAACTGAAATAAAAAAAACTGAATTTAACAATGGTTCAGACTTGTTTATTAGGAGTATTCAATGAGAGTAACACGACTTCAAAAAAGTATATTTTGCTTGATGAGTTAATAGCCATAGATTTTATTTGAACCCCTTATATGGTCGCATTAAGTTACTTGGCGTAATTTGGTATACATATAGAACATAATCTGGAAGAACACGGAGGCTACTAATATTTTTTTTTTCGCACGGACGGAGTCGCAGGCGTTATTTAAACATTTAACAGATCATTTACTAAGAAAGATTAGATTTAGATGATACATGTTGTTCTAATCCATAGAATTAATTGGTCTTATTGAAAACATCCTGTATATCGAACGTTAACATCAAGTTTGCAAACAATAGATTTAATAGCTGACAACGTTGCGTGAATATTCTCTCGTACATATTTAAAGAAACATCAGAATTTCAAACCGGTAAATAAATACAGACATTTTAAAGTTTAACATCGTTATTTTATATTTGACTAGCTGTAAACCACAACTACGTCCGCGCGGGATTAAACAAAACTTAATTAGTAGCCTAAGACTTCTTCCAGTCTATTCATGTCAAATTTCAGCGAGATTTATACATCCGTTTTGCAGATATGTTCAAACAAACATCCAAACATTCGCATTAATATTAGTAAGGTAGATAAGTATATTTTTATTGCTTATTGAAAAAAGTAATAAATACATTTTGGAAAACTACGTTAATAAAACTTTTAAAGTGCAACCATGACGTATATAAAGCTATTTTTAACACTATCGTTTTTCAAAAAATAAGTAAACATTTGAATATGAAGTACATTAGAGACTTAATTTATGAATAAATGGTTTTTGTTTCTGCATTTTTAAATCGATTTTTGTATCTGGATATTGAATCTTGAAAACATTTTAAAAGGTCAATCTATAATACTTACTTCTTTCAAATCCAACTCCCTTGGGGTTACAAATGGACATGTTCCGTTTAACACAGCACTACTTACGAATGGAAACGTCAACATAATGCCTAAACAATAAAACATTTTGAGGCGGATGAGGGAGGGGCTTCAGCTGATGTCACAAATCAACTGAGACGTAACGGTAGACGTAACCTCTTTTATACTTTATATATTTTTTTATAACAGTTAAAACTAATTATTCTTATTCCGTGTTAAAAAGTACAACAGATTGAAACATTAACACCATGACTTCTGTTGATTGTTTAAAAGATTTATAATCCCATCTCTGGTTCGCAAAGAATCGAAATAAATTAGTAAACGAGTTTCAAATATAACTAGAAGATTCCTTACTCTTTCAAACATATATCTTAGTCAAATATTACACTTTTTAATATCACGTGTTTGAATTGTTAAATGTGAAAACTGCTTATTAGTAATTTATTTTATCACACACAAGAAATAATAAACGATTCCGTTGTGAAAGAAGCAAGACGAAGCAAAGGATTGAGTAAAGGAAAAAAACTGACTGACTGATATAAATGCACAGACCAAACTACTGGATACTTGAAATTATAATCAGAAATCTCTTATTAAGTAAATTAGCATCTAGTAAGAATTTTCCTTAGTCTTACTTACTAATCTTACTAATATTATGAATGCGAATGTTAAGATTGATGGCTGTTTGAAGGTATCTCCAGAACGGCTGAATAGATCTCGTTAAATTTCGAATACATATAGAACATAGTCTGAAAAAACACATAGGCTACAAATATTTTTTTTAATTCCGCGCAAACAGAGTCGCGGGCAACAGCCAGTTCCATCCTATAAAATATTCAAGCAGGAGATGGAAGTTTTTTTAACGATTGTTTTTACATTAGTAGAATTACTTGACAATTCGTTAATGTGGGACTATTACTTATTATAACGAGGACGGAATCGCTAGTACGTCGCTTAACAGGAATGCATAATCGCGTCCATTCTTCGAACTATTATGAAGCATCAATAGCCTAATGGTTAACGGTACGGATTATCGACCGTGTGGTGGTGGGTTCGAATCCCGCGATACAACTATTATCGTAAACCATGTCCTAGCCTAGAGCATAGTTGGAATGTTTCAAGAAATATTATTATAGTAAATTAACAAAATATATGTATTATAGAAATATATAAGAAAGAAAAAGGTTTTATTTCCAGTTTTAGACATAATAACTAGAATCCTTTAGCGCCAATGACGTGCTTTCGCTACAAAGTCCAGTGTAAGAATGAATAGGGAGGGGACAAAAACGACGCCATTTTAGTATGGCTAGTGTTGAGTCAATACACTGCCACATTTTTGGATTTTCTTCCTAACACAAGTAATATTGATTAAAATCAAGATTAAACCAAGACCTTATACTAACATAAAATTACACATAACTGAAAAATTAAATTAAACTTAAGTTAAAATTTATGGTTATTTTGGGTAATCTAGTGATATCTACACTAAACATTGCCTGTATCATAGCCACCGATATTCAGATAGGTATAGAAATATAGATATTAAAAAAAAAGAACACCACAATACTGCAATACTGCATATAAAGAAAGTTTGAATTTCTTTTATCAATTTCAAACGAAATACGGGCCATCTCAATGAGTTTAGATATTGTTATCAAAAGATATGTCTAATCTGATCTGGGCAGATGTGAAGTCATTGATGTATATGTACTTGCATAAAGTTATGTAGAAATATAATAAATAATGTACAAATATATAACAATATTTTGTTTTTATTTTCCCAATAATAATATTAGGATTATTTTAATAGAGGTATTTCATAAAAGGCTACTTGATATCGGCTCACTATATTAATAACTACATAAGTGGGTATATTATTTTGGAACATTGATTTAATGTCAATTTTAACTTCATTAATTAGATTCCCACTTATCAGGTATTATTATAGTGAGCTAAATATGCGTGCCTACGTATATAGGTACAAAAAAAAAGAAATTAGTTCACGCATAATACGCATGGAGCGCCACAATCGCCGTGGATCCACGACTTCGTGCATAGTATACTTACTATAGAAAGAGGGAAAGAGGAGACTCTTTATGTCAGATACAAAATAGTTTGTCAAAATGTACGCTAGAAAATGTTTAACATTTTTATTGTTTGTAGTACATATTAAATTAAGTAGAAATCAAGTGTTGTTATTCGGACCTTGTATTGAAGTGGAAACTGTTAAGTTTTTTGATATAGAAAAGGTAAGGCGGCCGTGCAATGTTGTATGTTAACAGTCTTCAGATTGTTTTTATTTTGTTAATTTTTAAAAATGTGCTTGTGAAAAACGATTATTAAATTAATTTTAATTTTAAGGAACCCTTATAGGAACGCTTCGTATGTCTGACTGTCAAGACCCATTTTCTTTAAAGAAATTTTTGGTGCATAATTCCTAAAAAGCGATTGTTTTTCATCAATCTCTACTTTATAATGGACAATAAGAGCAAATATTTAAAATAACCTAAATGACTAAGTTTTCCTTTGATTTTAATGACGAGGAAAATTTTAAATTTAAATGAACATATCAATATTTTTTTTACTACAGTTTTTAGGATTATGGTACGAGATAGAAAGATTTCCAACGTCGTACGAAGAATTCGGACAATGTGCGTACAAACGATTTCAAGCATGCGGCAGAAGAATAGAAATAGAACATGGCTTCATCAAGAATGACATACTGTATATAGTGCATGTTAACAGTACATATGCACCAGGAAATGATGCCATATTTAAATTCAAAAAGAATAATATAGGTACATACTCCTTTAGACAGCTTGAATTTATCAGAGATACTGGCTGATGCCCCTGATTCCATCCTAATAAGCCTATGTGTTTTTCACACTATGTTCTACATCTGTGCCAAATTTTATCAATAACCATTGAGCTGTTCCTGAGATACCTTCTAACAAACATCCATTAATCTATCCGTCCATCTAAACTTTTGCATTTATAATATTAGTAAGATTGGTTGGGTCAAAAGTAATCCTAAAAGGTCATCTTAATGTACCCCAACTAAAGATGCTTGTTGGAGAATAAAATCACCAAACAATACCTTTGATAATACTTTATTCTTTTTAGTCAAGACTATTTTTAACTTAGATCTAACAGGCATAAAAGTATTTTATTTAAGAAATAAGCAAATTGATTAAGAAAGAAATCAGAAGATTAATTAGAAGACTTATGGGCCGGTATAGTCGCTTTGCATCAAACGCAATTTAAAGTTAATAAAAAAAGCAATGTGATGGAATAATTTAACTAATATTTAAAATAATATTTTTAGATTCCCTGGGTATACCAATGTCAATACTCGCTACGGATTACACAAACTACGCAGTTGTGTACGGATGCAAGAATAATGACACAATAGATATAAAATACAGTAAGTTTTATTTGCTTTACATTTGAAGTAAATATCAATCATTTGCATCGAAGCAGTTCTGTCAAAAAGAAAGAAAGAATTACATTTATTACTGTTGAAATAAATGGAAAAGTAGTTATTTTACTTATCTATTACTTCTTAAATAACTCTAGTACATGAGTACATTGTGACATTTTTTTTTTAATTTTATGACCTGGTAACATAGACCTTTAGGTCATATTTGAAAAATGTACTTTGGATTCACTTCACCTCACTTGAATTCGTCGTTTATTGTGACATTTTATCGAAGAGAGACCAAAGAGTATGTTTTGTCAATGACACTAGACACATCCAAAGATTATCCTTATCTTTTTAATCTTATGACCCTTTATACAACTATATTAATCTTAATTCTACTTCAAACTTTTAGTTAACATATCTGCCAAATTAATTTTACTATCAATTTTTATAATATCAATAATTTTCTTTTTATATTTCTTAATTATATAATGATACTGCAATTTAATATGCTTTGAATTTTTTGTAAAGTTCACATATTTAGTGATTGCTATTGCACCTGAACTATCTACATACAATTTTATTGTCGGTGGCTCAGTGGTCAAGCACTTGACTTGCAATCTGCAGGTCCTGGGTTCGAATCCCGCCATGTACCAATATGTTTTTCGATTTCCGATTTGCATATGTACATTTATCCGACGTTCTTACGGTGAAGGAAAACATCGTGATGCAACCTGCACATATCTGAGAACAAATTCAAAGATATGTGTGAAGTCAACCAACCCGCACTTGGCCAGCGTGGTTGATTATGGCCTAATCACCCTTTACTTAGGGTAGGCTCCGAGCCCCTCGGTGGGGACGTATAATGAGCTGATGATGAATTTTATTGGCTCACAGAATTTTACATTAAATGATTCACTTAGCAAGTTTCTATTAAAAGTACTTCTGTGACTGCCTCTGACAAAGCTATATATTCTGCAAAAGTAGAACATTTGTTTACTGTATTCTGTTTATGTGTTTTCCATAAAATTAAGTTTCCATACAATCTAATAACAAAAACAGTTGTTGATTCTCTATCCAGATTATCTCCTGCCCTCATTTACAAGATCCTTCAAAGCATAGTAGAATAAGCCTCATCTGCATCTACATAACTTTAATCGCTTTCAATATTAGTATTTTCTATATCATTTATAGTTTGGTCTACTTCTTTATCTTTGTCTTTCTAAACATCTAGCTTTTCTAAGCAAATCAGTTCAGTATTCTCTTCAACTACCTGGGCATGTCTAGCATTAATTGTTCTATTGTTTAAAATAACTCTATAACTATTTTCATTATAACCTACTAGAATTCCTACTTGTGCTTTATCATCCCATTTACGTTTTTTACAAAAACTCTAATTCCATAAATTTTTAGATTCTTAACTTTCGGTTTTATTTTGAAAAATGTCTCATAAGGAGTTTTATTTTCTACTGTATTAGCAATGATTCTATTTTTTAAGTTTGCTGCTGTTTTTATAGCTACAGGCCAATACCTTCTATTTTTTTATATCATAAGGTGGCAAACGAGCGAGCGGCCACCTGAAATCGCTGAAATAGCGAAGTGACCGTTGCCCAGACATACGCAATTGCATATGCGTTGCCTACCTTTAATCGACGGAGGAGAGGATGCACAGAAAGAAAATATTTTCTCTTTCCATGCATCCTCTCATCCGGAAAGTCCACTTCCACTTTCCAACCTTTCCTTATAAGAGAAAGGGTGGGAAGGGAAAGAGGACTAATTTTGGCCTCCGGGACGCACACTCATCAGACGAAACGCGGAATTGCTTCCACTTCACGCCTGTCTTCTTTGTGGTCGTGGTATTTCACCGGGCGAGCCGGGCCGATTCGTGTGAAGATGTTAAAGCGGGCTCTACCACTGTTAAATCTATGAACTTTAGCTTCTCTCATTAAACACCTACCTATGTTCATAGCAGATATATTATATCTTTCCGCTACTCCATTTAATTCATGAACATATGGAGGACAAGGTAATAATTCTATACCCTTATGTCTTATGAAATTATAGATATCTTCATTTAAATATTCTCTACCATTGTTACACTGAATTTTCTTAATTCTTTTGTTAAATTTATTTTCAACTAAATTTACAAATTCTATAAAACAACCGGCAGGCAGCATTTGGCTGTAATTTTAGTTACAAATGTACTGACTCTCTTCTTACTTTCAGACTCACTAGTTACTATATTTTTCTCTTTTATTTTTTGAGCAGACGTAATCAAATGTTCTTTGTTCTTCAGGAATCACATCAAGAAAATCTCCAATATAACTGAGGTGGTAGTCTGAGTGGGTATCTTAAATTTTCTTGTTCATCTATTTTTCCTCCGGACACTTTGAACTCATTTCTTGTTTTCTCGAAATCAACAAAAAATTCTTCAACTATACTATAATTTTTAATTTTATCTCTTCAATTTTTCCTCTATTATTTGCATTGCAGTAAATTGTGCTAAATACCTCTTGTCAAACTTCTTTATCATTTTACTTATATATTCCAGCTGTTTATCATAGATTGTGCTCATTATTATAGTCCTCGCTTTTAAATCCTTCCTTTTCTATACCGTTTCGGCATCCACATTTTTCACAATTACAACTTAGTGACATTCTTTGTATTCCAACAAAGATGACAACCTTAATTTCCAGCTTGAATAATTTGCACCATCAAAAATAGGTATTGTGTTGTCTTCTATCTTTGCTTGTTAAATTATTCAAACTTTCGTGAGACATTATACTAAACTGATATATAAACACGGCTAAACACTCACGTATATATGTCCGGTAGCGGCACCGACTAGTTTCGAGCCCATCGGGGCCCTTCATCAGGATGAGTGGTACTGGTATTATTTTGCGGACGCGGCCCGTCGCTCACTGCGCGCCTGCGCTCTTAGGGCGCGTCTTGAGGGGGCGGGGAGCGCGGGTTGCGCCGGCGTCGTCGACGATGTTGATACCAAAGCATCGGTGGTGTTGTTGAAGTTTTACTCATCTCGTCCTCATCCTGATGAAGGGCCCCCGATGGGCTCGAAACTAGTCGGTGCCGCCACCGGACGTATATACGTAAGTTTTTAGCCGTGTTTATATATCATCTTTGCTTGTTTTGCCATTTTAGCGATATTTTAGTATTATCAATGTTAATTTATACTTTTTCACCACAATTACTTTTGTAGCGCGTGGCAACCTAACCTCAAATATTTTAACGGTTTTGTTATACTTAATTTTATTACACTGACTTAAACTTAAACCAAAAAACCAGCTCAGGGTATGCAGGGACGGCCTAAATATTCCCAGCGCTGGTTCTCAGTTGACTCCTCTGCGTCCACCAGAATCTTACATATGTTTAGATGGATGGATGTTTGTTTGAAGGTATCTCTGGAAGTGCTCAACGCTGAAATTTTGCATAGATGTAGTGGTCTAGAAGAACAGATATTTTACTTTTTTAATTCCGCGCGGAAGTCGCCACTAAATACTAAACATTTAAAAAACATAATTAGTAGCATATGTGTTCTTCCAGACTTTGTTCTATATGTATGCCAAATTTCACTAAGACCTGTTTAGTCGTTCTGGAGTTACCTTCAAACAAACATCCATCCATTCATATCTTAACGGTACTAACATTAGATTTCGATGCTTTTTGGCATGCGTATGGCATTTTACATGTGCATGTTTTACTGTATTTCCATCATTTAATCTATAAAACATATCAGTTTCAGCTTGGATATTATCAAGGGAAAAAGAATTATCCCCTGAAATATTAGAAACGGCTCATAGAGAGCTAAATAAAATACCATATGCCAGTACAGTTTATTTGAAACCGGTGCTTCAAAATATTGAAAAATGTACACATCAATGGACAGCTCATTTTAATGCGAAAGATGTTATTGATGAAGAAAACAATGAATTGTGATTTACTTTGAACAAATGAATAAATAACTCATAAAAGAAATAATTGTGGTCGTTACTTGAATCTATTCCTTCCTTCCTAAACTTTCCTTTACCTTAACAATGATGTAAGAAAGTGCATATGTAAAACTAACACATTGGTATATGTCAAGATTGAACTTTGGACCTGCAGATTACAAGTTAATCGCTCAACACCTGAGCCACTGACTACAATATGCAAATAGTTAATGATATATGGCTAAGAAGTAAACGAATGTATGTTTTCAAATTATTTAATATTTGTTTATATGGGAACAGAGAATCTGAAAGTTCTAGGATCCGTGGCCTGAGATTCGTAATATTTGGGCGAACATTTTGACCAACTTTCCTTCACCAAGTAATTCGTGTTGATACCAAGTTGTGTCAGAGGTTTCTGAGCCAATTCTTTAGATACATCATTTAATGTGGGATTGCGAGACAGGATCCATATATAAACTGAAAGAAAATTTACATGCTGTAACTTTCGCACAAAAAAGATGGCCTCCGCGTAGCTTTAATATGTGAAATCTTCACTCCGAGACACCCTTAGCGGTAGTTTAATTACTTTGAATGTGGCAGTAACAATTGGTACATGCCCGCGCCCGCGTCCTCTTGTATGTATGTATTTACAAGCAATTAGGCTAGGCTACCTCGTGAACTCTACAACATTCAAGTTTCCTATTAATTTGAAATGGTTAGAATGTTTTTAAATAATTTTCTTAATTAGTAAATATTAAGTTAAAAAATAATATTATTTACTTACTGAAGTGTTTGTTTATCAAAGGACTGTATTGACAAGTGTATAAAGTCGCGTAATATTTGTAATTAGTTGCCAAAACTTGGAATGGGTACCTTCTGACTTTCACTGAAAATATTGTAAATTAATATTGACATCATCAGCTTACTATATGTCCCCACCGAGGGGCTCGGAGCCTATCCTAAGTTGAGGGTGACTAGGCCATAGTCAACCACGCTGGCCAAGGGTTGGTTGACTTCACACATATCTTTGAATTTCTTCTCAGATATGTGCAGGTTGCATCACGATGTTTTCCTTCACCGTAAGAACGTCGCATAAATGTACATATGTAAATCGCAAATCGAAAAACACATTGGTACATGGTGGGATTCGAACCCACGATCTGCAGATTGCAAGTAAATTGCTTGAGGAGAGCCACCAACGCTCTTATAGTAAATTAATATTAGTAACCGATTATCCTAGTTTTTTGAAAACTTTTTGTCATACGTTGACCTAGTTTAATAGCGTCATCTGTTGGCTGCATTTTAAAACAAAGATTTATTATAAAAATAATCGAATTTTGAGCTATGAAAAAATTTATGGCCAGTTACATTTTTTTCGTTTTTTCGCTAATTTTTTAGAATTCTGTTTATATTATACTTACATCTTCTTGGTGCATTTTCAAACGTGAAAGTTAATTCAAAATCAGATGAAGCTCCATTTTTGGGCGAAACAAGCTTCAGTTGACCAATACTTTGTCTATGGAAAAGGCCACGATCAACTCTCGAGATGTTGACATAAATCCCACTTGGTTTGTATAATAATTCAACTGTAGAACAATTGTTCAAAAGTTGACCATCGCTAGAATAATGATAGGCCTGGTACCAGGTTTTACCAAACTGAAATATAAGAAAATTTATTCAAAATCCAGATTTATAATGGATTTAAAATATTAGTTTAAACATAAGATAAAAATAGCTTGCTAAACACAGAATACAGTATTTACAGAGAGAAAAAGGGTTAAATCTCTTATAGGCATATCGATAGAAACTGGTATATTAAACAACTTGACCGTAACTGGAAGCTTTATTATGAGAGAGCATTTCCGTTTCCGTCGAATTTCTACCAGTTTTCGTACTTTTAAAGGGATGTTTCCGGCAAAGTGGCGCCACCTGGCGGGGGCTGTCTTTTAGTTTTCGTAAAAGAAGACGTGCCCTTTTGAATCATTGGCGTTTGAGTTCCCGTCGAAGCAACACCTACGCAGCAGTTCTGTCCCTGCGACGTTGTTGACATAAAAAGTGGTTAAAGTTTTTAAAATAATTATAAAAATAAATAAAAACTAATACAAAGCGAATAAGTAATACTACAAATAAAGTAAGTACGTGATAAAAATTATTAAATCTACAGTTAAAAGTAAGTGATTAATATATAATATTTAACGGTTTTTCCGTTCGTTTCAAATCATTTACTTAATTATATTTGATATAACCACATAGCTACCAGTTAATAATTTAAATTGTGTTTATTATCATCAGAAAGTCTAGAGGATAGTCTAACATAGTTTCGGTTGCAGTAATGAATGAAAAGGACTTAACACCTGAATCGCTGGCTGTGCCTGGTCCTAGTGGAGAGGCGCACAAGCGGAGACGCAGTAGCTCTAGTAGCAGTGGTAACAGCAGTTCTACAAGCTCATCCTCTTCGGACAATAAAAGACGGTGGTCCCGTCGTCACAAGCATAAGAAAAGTAAGCGTGGCAAGCGTTCCAGCCAAATGATGGACAAGTTGTTCAAGGAAATGGGTGAGCTTCGAAAAATTGTTACCTTAAATAATGTAGACACTGCATGTAACGACAATGTGTCAGTTTATACCGGAAGTGACGAGATTTATCAGCAGCTTGATCACAATTATAGTGAAATAAATTCAGAACACGGATACTCCAATCCAAATTTGGTTTTTGATATCGAAACTAAACTAAAAGAGCCATCCATTCCTAAAACATCTGAAGGTTTCTTAAAAAAGTTAATGGAGGTGCAGCGATTAGGTAGCACCTCGTGGTCCGACATTAGATATGCTGAAACACAAAAGCTATACAATCATACCCCAGGTTTTACAGACCTTGAAATAAACGAGGAGGTAAAAATATTCGACACCTTACGTCACCTCGCTTACGCTGACAAATCATATGCCGCCATTACATACTGCATACTCAAACAAAAAGAATCTATGCAGGAAGCCATTATTGTTCTACTTTCATGGGCAAAGAACACAAATAGTGTTGACTTCGAAAATTTGAGTAGCAAGGTTGATCAGTTATTTTGTAAGGGCGATTTGTGCAAAGTTTCATCTGACCTCTTACAAATGGTTTGTGGCCATAGAGCTGAAAGCATTGAAATGCGCCGCGAATCAATTACAAGTCAGGTTAGAGATCCTTTGGTCAAAGCAGCCTTGAACAGAATACCACCATCTACATCTTACATATTCGATTCAGAACCTTTTACATCAACACTCGAAAAAGCCGGTGGGGTCCGCAAAGCATTTTGGCCTCTAAAAAGTGATGGTTCTAGGCAAACAAAATCCAACCAATCGAATAGCCGCCCCTCGCGGGGGCATGGTGTACATAGACCAGTAGTTCCATCGTGTGGAATACAATATAGCTACCATGAACCATGCTCTCAAATGCATGCTTATAACTCACCCTCGCGGGGTGTATGCCACAACGTTAACCATTATGTTCGAAGTCACCCAACCTCGAATAACAACAACGGGCGTGGTACCTTTCACAACCGAGGCTCGCGGCCCGATCGTGAAGGTAAGAAAAGTCGTTCAAGTACCCAAAGAAGTTCCAAAGGACTTCAAAGTAAAATTAATAGACAATGACTCGAAGCGGTTTCGGGCAGGTCAGTTAGCGCAATATCATCGGCAATGGAAGAAAATGGAGGCACCAGAAATCATATTAAAACTAATCCAAGGGTATCGCATACCATTTTTTCAAAAGCCACCCCTTGTAAACCCAAAAAAGATAAAAGGCCCCTTTCAAACTCATGTCTCGGAAGAAATGTCGGCAATTATAGAGAAGATGAAAATACAGGGCATTTTAGAAGTAGCACAGTTCTCACCAAGCTTCATTTCCCCTCTATTCCTGGTGCCCAAGCCGGACGGATCAGCCCGCCCCATATTCAACCTCAAAGCGCTCAACAAATATGTACTGACCAAACCGTTTCACCTAATAAACATGCACCGCGTGCCAGACTTTCTACAACCTCAGGACTGGATGTGCAAAATAGATTTATCTCAGGCGTATTTTCATCTCAAAGTAAACAAGTCACAAAGACGCTTCCTTCGGATCGTTTACAACCAAGAATTGCTAGAAATGACTTGCCTACCATTTGGCCTGAGTACAGCTCCGAAAACATTTTCAATTCTCACAAATTGGGTGGCTCAAGTATTACGAGAAAAATGGAACATAAGAGTTCTTGTTTACCTAGACGATTTTTTGATAGCACATCAAAGCGCACACACACTTCAAGTCCACGTCAATCTCGCAATACAAACTCTGCAGAGCTTAGGGTGGCAAATCAATTACGAAAAATCAATTCTATGCCCCCGAAAGACCATAATTTATTTAGGAATACAATGGAGCCCCTGGCTGAATCAAAAAGTTCTCCCAAACGAAAAGGTAGTCACCGTCATTATAAAAGTAAGCCTGATTTTGGAACAAAGAAGAGCAAGTGTAAAAGATTTGCAAAAAATAATAGGGCTGTTAAATTTTGCCAGTTTTGTTGTACCACGAGGTCGACTCCATCATCGAAAATTGTTAATGTTCCTGAACTCGCTTCCCAAAATGTCGCAGAAAGCCTATCATCTGCCAGAAATTGTCATCGAGGAACTGGAATGGTGGAAAGTGAACTGCCAGTTGTCAACACCTCTACATTATCCCCCTCCCGTTCATTTTATGGCAACAGACGCTTCAGACTTAGCTTGGGGGGCACAACTGAACGACCTAGCGTTCTGGGGAAGCTGGTCTCAAGAAGAACAACAGCTACACTCGAATCAGAAAGAGTTGCTGGCTATTTTACACGCTCTCCAAATCCATGCTCATTTATTGAAGCAAAGCTCGCTGCTCATACAGTGCGACAACAAGACTGCCGTCGCTCAATTACGGAAAGAAGGAGGTACGAAATCCACATCACTAATGAAAATAACCTACCAAATTTTGAAATTATTAGACCATCACGAAATACACTTCAGCATTCACCATATCCCGGGCAAGTACAACAATCATGCCGACCACCTTTCACGTCACCGTCAACCTCCAGAGTGGCACCTACTACCGGCTTGTGCGGAAATGGTGTTTGCAAAATGGGGCACTCCAGTGATAGATTTATTCGCCTCGAAGACTGCTCACGTAG